CCCCCAGCTCTCAAGAAGAGGAAAGGCAGCAAAGGGCAGGAATGAGCTCAGATGGGAGGAGGGCACACGAGTGGGAGTTCAGAGGCTTCCACAGCAGCAGAACCTTGGAGAGGTGACAGTACAGAATTCCCTGCCTGGAAAACACTGTCCCAGGTGGTTTGGCCCACTTTGCCCACATTGTGCTCCTGTCACAGCACTTCCACAGCCAGCCCAGGAGCTGTCCCACTGCATCCTTGGGAGCTGCAGGTTGTGGCTGCAGGTGGGGGACACAGACCAGGGAACCCCACAGTGGTTTGGGTGGGAAGGGACCTTCGAGCTCATCCAGGGCCACCCCTGCCATGGGCAGGGACACCTTCCAACTGCCACAGGGCAGGGATGGATGGGATGTTGGGAAGGAATCCTTGGCTGGGAGGGTGGGCAGGCCCTGGCACAGGTTGCCCAGAGAAGCTGTGGCTGTCCCTGGATCCCTGGAAGTGCCCAAGGCCAGGTTGGATGGGGTTCATGGAAGGAACTGTCAGGCATTGGCAAGGGCTGGGAGGGCTTTTCCAACCTGGATGATTCTGGGATACACAGCATTTCAATCTGCCATATTATCTTCAAGATGCTTTGTAAGCACCTTAAAGAGATGCTCCTTTGTATCTCCACATCCAGTGACTGCAGTAATGGAGTGAAGGCCAGACTCTAAAATTCCTTGGGTTTCATTGGCTTGTGGAAAATATTTTGGGCTCTCAGCTCCTGCAGGTGAGGGCAGTGATCCACTACCAGGAAAAGCTTGTCTTCCCCAGGAGATCACAAACACGAATTTCTGCAGGACAAAGTGATGAAATAGGGCTCTAAAAATATTATCCCCAGGGTGGAAACATGGATAGAGCAAGGAAAATACAGCTCCCAGCTCACTGAAGCTCCCTTTGCTGCCCAGCCCAGCTCTGGCTCTGCAGAGGCACAAGTTAATGAGGCCCAACAGTGGCCCAGGGAACCCCTGGGCTGTGTCCTGGCATGAAATGGGAGAGCTGCACTCTGGGGGCTTTGGGGTGAAATCCCTCTGCACAGCCAGAGCCATGAAATATAAATGTGCACAAACACCAAAGCTGAGATAAAAGGAATTGATCCTTCAGAGCATTAACACTATTTTTGGGGGGAAAGAAACAGCTGCATTGAGGAGGTCACGGGGTGGGGTTGGAAGAGCTTGTTCAAGAACAAAGGCAGGGACAGGGTGGGACTGGGGCTGTGTTTGGGGTGGAGGGGAAGGCAGGGAGGAGGAGGAAGAACAGGTACAAGTTCCAGGCCAGGAAAGAAA